AAGTTCCATGTTTATGCACAAGCACTAGGAGCTTTTGTTTCAGTTTAGTTGCATGCTGCCAAAGGAAGCATTCCCAAGCCATCAAAGATCCTTGGCTTTCCTTGAGACTGCAATAGCACATCTTGTTCCAGAAGAAGTTGCCTGCTGCACATGCAATAAGTAAGTTATGCCAGAAATCCAGAGCCAGGGGCTCCTTCTCATGACTTCACTGGGGCTAGGAACTGATGGCAGAAGAACAAGAAGGCACCACTGTCTAGGAAGAGGGCCAACTAAACAGAAAATGAAAATGAAATGAATGTCTTTCATCTTCTATCTTCTTGCATATTGGTCATTCACTGTATACAACCCTCTCCCTTTTTGCTCAGCTCAGAAGGAAGAAAAAGACCACAAGCAACCCCTCACATGAGGTCTTTCCACTTTCCTCCATAAGTGCTGCCAGTTGTCACACCTGGAATGTAACTGGTTTCAGTCCTAAAAATGGAACATCAGCTGACTGGAACTTGTAGCTCCTGCCTCTTTCACTTCAGCAGGGCTTGGCTCTTAAGGAAGAAGAAAACACCTATTTCCCAACTCAGATAAGCATATTAGCATATGAAGTACTGAAACACTAAATATGCATAGGTCACACCTGCTCTTTCAAAGTAAAACAAAAGCTCTGATAGAACTGGGATCTCTGCTGGGCCATAGAAAATATTAGATTTACTTAAGAGAAACTTTTAGCCTGATCCAGTATCTAAGGAGATGTAGGGCCTGATATTAATAGAACTGATAGCACTCCGTGTCTCCCTGAAGACCTACTCAGCATCTTGCAGGGACATCTTATACCCCATGTCAGAGACGAGGGAAAGAGATAGGACTGAATAACTGGCACGGAAGGGAAGCATCTCATGGAGATCTCTGCACTTCCCATAAATGACAGCAAGAAAGAGCACAGCCTAAGCTAAAGAAGGCTCAGGCAAAGAAACTGAACAAGCCAGAGACAGGCACTGCCTAACCTGCAGGAACCTGGGCCAAATGCTATTTACTATTCCTCTTTGCCTGATTAAAAAGTAACCCCTAGTATATTGTGTGGGGGGAGGGGGACATTATTTCACAACCCCTTCTAAGCTTAGAAGTCTTCTGTGGCAGAAAGCCACCTTGGTTTCTCCCCAAAAATCTCTGCCCTGTGACACTGTGATTTAAATCTCTGTGCTGTGACCATTCAATTAGGATGGGCCCAGCACACAGGGGACCACACCCTCAGCCTGTCTCTTTAGGGAACTGGAGCTGGCTGCATTCCTGAGGGAGGGGGAAACCTGCTCCCTCTGCCTACGTGACTTGCATC